TTTGTGTTTAAATAAAAGACAAGAAACTGAAATTTTTTCAAATGGACCAATCACACCTTCACAGATAAACCACCTGAACAATTGACATTTAAGAGGTGGTATTGGCTAATTGGTTAAGTCACAGTACAAATAGATTCTGGACACAAAAAATGCAAATAAGTTAATATAAAAAATAAAAAAGATAAAAATAAAAAGTTAATATGAGTACAAGAACATTAAAAGAGGGAGACAATGCCAAAATCTAGTCAAAAACATACAAACACAAAAGGTACATTTCACAGAAACTCATTGATAGAAAAATCCTCATTCATGCCTCTCGGGTGTGAAGTCTTTAAACAAAATATCCAGAATGCTTCTCTTTTTATCTGATAAAATTAATGTTACCACCTCTTTGACTGGGTTCAGTGGCTTCAATGCCTATAATTTCATTCAAAATCTGTTTATCATGAGTGCCTACACATTACACAACTTAAACATTATAAATGGCTTCAAGCTCACATTGAGGCCTGTGGGGCTCCATCCACCATTGAGACAATAGACAAATCTATGTGTTTTCATATATGAATATTTCATACTTTAAGGCTGCCTGTTTATTTAAGGGAGATGAACAATACATTATAATTGTACATAAGATGATATTTCAAATAAATAGATTTTAGGTAGATAATTGTGTAAGTCTTATATGTTTAACTGAAACGAGTATGTGATCTGTTCAAAGCCTCTCCCAGTCAGTGCTGTTCTCCATGCCTGTCTTACTGTACACAGTGTTATTAGCATAAACACTTTAAAGGTGATAATTTAGGACTTCAACAATAATACAGACAGCATTATAGTTAAACATCTTACAGTTAGTTTTTATTATGAATGAACTTTAAAAAAACAAACAAACATCTGTCTCCTATTTTTTGAGTCACATAGTAAAGAAGCATCAATGTCTGATGAGAAGACGTATTAATTTGGCCTTACTGTGTATTATTGTGGTGTTTGGTGGAGTTTTGTTCTGTGGGATTGTTTTTTTTTTCTCGAGCGGAGATGAATATCTGTAACAAGTTGATTTGTTCACATTTGCACAACTTAATTTTTAGGAGAAATGTGTGTTTTGAGTTTGTACACTATATTCATGCAAGGCAACCTTTTCCTTTTGCAATATTTTATGTGGTGCATTTCTCTATGTTTTTACAAAAGGGGTACAAAGGACATTAAGGAAAAATGATGAAGCACATCTTGCCTTTGGCTTCACCTGCACAATGGTGGTGCCAAGTTAGGTTTCCACAACAGAATTAGTTTCCCCTGCGTCGGGAGCACACGCTGGGCTGTCCAAATCACGGATAAACAGTGTCCCACATTTTTGATTTTTTGTTCACAAACACTTCTTATAATGATTAACTCACCTGAAATTTTGGAGATGTTAGCTCTTTAAACTGCAAAGTTAAAGTGGGATACAAATAACATCAGGCTGATCCTGCCACAATTTGTCCCCCCGTCCACATCATGGACAAACAGTACTTCATAAGGGGAGCAAAGGGACCTGAAGAACAATTTCTCTCTATTCCTTTTAATATGACACCTTAGTATGACACTGAGATATTTGATTTATTTACACTTGCCATCATAACTGATCAGATATACAGTGGGTAAAATACACATCGAGCACATAGCCAATTCTCTAAGTAATTATATTTGTAAAGGTGTTATTGACATGAAATTGTCACCAGATGTCCTCGTCTGCTCAGTTTTCCCTTTGTGTCACTTGACATTTTTATACATAATTTATGGTTAATGTTTGATAATTAGCCTCTGTGTGGAAAAGCTGGGATAAGGGATTTAGGATAATGCCATGGTATTCCTTTTCTGTCAGCCAATCTAATCGAGCCACAGGTGTGGCTGTGTTTTTCCACAGTGTAGCTTT